TCAGTCTTTGTGCTCGAGCCTCGCTCAGCCCCTCTTCGCATGGTCCTTTTGGTGGCCGGTCTCCCCCGGGCAGAGCCCTCGGTGCCCCGGGGGCGGAGGTGGGGATGAGGATAGGGGTGGGGGTGGCAGGGTCTCGGCGCGCCGGGCGCCCTCCTGCCCACAGCTCGGCCGCCCGCCGCCGCTCTCCCTTCCAGGCTTGTTCCTCTCGCCCCTCGCCAGCTCCTTTCCCTCCTTTCGGAACTCCCTCCCCCTCGCCTCTCCCCCCTCCCTGTTCACCGCCTGGGCTCGCCTCTCAGCACCCACTCCGAGCCCAACCTTCGCCTGCGTCTCCCCGGCCTTTCCCAAAGTCCCCCTCAAGCCGCCTCCCCGCCTGAAGGGCTCGGCCCTTGGGTTCACCTGCTGCCTCTCCTCTCGGCCCCTTCCACTAACCCTGCCCCCTCCTTATATTCGCACTCACACTATGTGGCACGCCAGGCTCCAACCCCCTCGTTCCAGGTCGGGGTGTGGGATGTGGGACCGAGCTTTGGGAAGAGGGTCCCCGGCCCCCAGCACATGGGCAGCCTCCCCTCCCTTTGCGCTCCCCCAGGGTTGTACAGAGAAGTGCCCCCATTCTCACGTACACCCTGAGACTCCTGGAGTGGGGGCGGCAGTAAGGGTGCTGATTTCTTCCAGTCGGCGCCTGGGGAAGGGGTATCAAGTCACCAACAACCTCCACCCAGTCTCCAAGGGTGCTGGACCTGGGTAGTGAGCTCTGCTCAGCAGAATGTTGAACGAATGGGCAAGGCACCGGGAGCCAGAGTGAAGACGTTTAGGGATGCAGAGGGAATAAGAAAAATCGATTAGTCTCTCAGGACAAGACCCCTTTTGCTAGGGACACAGGTTGTGAATGTGGTCGGTAAAGCAGCGCGGTGGGAGACCTCGGACCTCGGTCAGAGCTCGGCGCTCCCCTCCCACCTCGGCATCAAGATCCCAGCTTGGCAGGTACCAGACCCCGACTGCCGCGCCAGGGCAGCTGAACTCGTGGCAACTGGGGTGCGGGAACCGAACCCACAGAGGAGGGGGAGAAAGCTCGCAGGGGACAGGGTCAGCTATAATAAGCGAGTCTTCTCACCGTGCACATGATGCAGTGGCACTTCAGCCGGTTTGTGAACTCTTCCTTCCTTCCCACTTTTGCAGCGGGAATCCCCTACTGACCTCCACCCTCCCACGTCCACCGCTGCGCGAGAGTTTATCTTCCAGAACCTCTGCTCGGCCAAATTGGAGTATTTTCCCAGTTAGCAGGAGAATTTCCCAGAGAAAGCTACAGACATGAAGGAGGTAAGGGAGAGAAGAAGGACTCTGGATTGTAAAAAGAACCTTGTAAACCTTCTACAAGGCTATGGCTGTCAATGATTTAAAATGCCAAATTATTTTTTAAATTCCAGGATAGATTTGGCCAGCTTTCTCGTTCTTTCTCCTATTAAAAAATGTCCTCCTTATTAGGAATTCCTTCCTGCTGGAATGGAAACATGTTTTTCTCGATTTCTGCTCTCAATAATAATACAATCAGATGTGATGTCCTTTCTAAAGTGTGAGTCTGATCCTCTCATTCACCGACTTAAAACCCTTTCAGACTCTCTAAGTCACATATAATGTATTTCCTGATCTGTCCTCTTTTTTTCATTCCTAGCCTACCTGGTTACTGTCATCTTCCCTCACACACATTCCCCAGTCTTCTCCCCAACTTTGCATGACTAAGACACTGCATCAGAAAAAACAAAACAAAACAAAACAAAAATAAAAAAACAGAACAAATAGGATATGGTGTGTGTGTGTGTAAATTTTATTCTAAGGAATTGGCTCCCACAATCATGGGGGTACCAAGTCCATCTGAAATCCCTAGGACAGCTCCAGACATTCAGGCAAGAACTGATGCTTCAGTCTTGAATTTCTTCTTTTCTGGGAACCTCAATTTTTTACTCATAAGACCTTCAACTGGTTATATACAGCCTACCCACATCATCAAGGGTAATCTTTCCTTAAAGTCAACTGACTGTAGGTATTAACCACATCTACAAAATGCCCTCACAGCAACCCCTAGCTAAGTGTTTGATTAAATAACTGGGTACTATAGCCTAGCCAACTGGACATGTAAGACGAACCATTACCGGCATTATCCTCCACATCTTATCCCAGCTGTCCAGAAGTTTCTCCTGAGTCCTGGTCAGCTGTTTCACTGCTTACTTCCCAGGGCAACTTACACTTCCATCTTTGTACTTGTCATGTTGTGTTGTGCTTCTTTAAACTAGACTGTAAGCTCGGCTGGGGCATAAATCACATCTCTCTGTTTCCCGTAGTGTCTGCAGTAACCAGTGACTGGTAATAAATAAGTGTTTGATAACTATCTGAGTGAAACTGTGATTGTGGACATGATTTACCTGGCCTTCTACAAAATTGGAACTGAGTATTCTACATTCATAGGAAATGAAATGAATTTACCATTTTCAGAATCGCTTTCTACCCTATCACTGGCTTTTTGTTCTCCAGGTAAAATAATCCCAAACACTTTGAGGTTTTTGTTGTTGTTGTTTTGCTGTTTTGTTTCTTGTTTTCACTTTCCCCCTTTTGTTTAACTACTTGGTGAACTTGGTGATTCTTTTTTTTGGTTCTATCTACGTATTTTGCAAGTTTAACCACACCTTCCCTTTGTCAAACTGGCTAATGCTTACTGAATGGGGCATTAAGTCATAGTTCAAATATGCCTGTATAGTGCATCCCTTTCCCAGACTCATGGGATACAAGACTTACCACCAATCCCAAATGCTGAACTGTCACTTTCCCTCCCTTTCTCTGTCAGTTCATGTGTAGCAGTGGTCTTCTGTGTTCCACTTACATTATGCACACATATATGTAGAGGGCTGGGGGTAGAGGTCATGGATTTACTTTACAGAGACATGAAAATAACAGCTTAAAACAACAAAATTCCAAATTGTAACATCAGCAAGAATCACTCCAACAAGCTAGCCTTGCTGTTGTAATTCACAAGTAATTCAAAAAACCCAAGAAACTAGTCCCCGCACTGACTCTGGCCCTGCCTTCCACTGCAGCCCCCCACAGCCCCCTCAATTAAATACTCCTATTCCTTTAAAAGCCTTCTTCGGCTTACTTGCCGTGTTTGAAGTAAGAGACGGGGGTAAAAGGAAATAGACTAGCTTGTATATCATTGCAACTGGAGAAACAAGGAAATGGGATGGTTTATCCTGTTTAATTTCATGCCCCCATTTCTCAAGGCATATAAATCCCATCAGAGGTGTTACAGAAAGACTAGATGGACTCTATTTCTTTCATGCTACCAGACCCAGACTACTTAATACCCTTTAATTTTATTATAATGGATAAGAAAACCTGACATATGTAATAAAAAGATTTTGCTGTCCCAAATTCTATACTCCCCTCATTCCAGTGGTTTCAGAGCTATTGTTATGCTCCAAGTAGCAACATGAAATCTGCAGGACTTCACTTTCATATCTATTTTTCTTTTTGACCTTGGCCTATGCATAGTTTAAAAAAAACCAAAAAGGGCATGCCATTGCCTTTTCCCTAATTCCAGTCAGACCTGAAATTTTAGAGTCAAAGTGACTTCTGCAGAGATCCTAACTGTATCATTTGTGACCCAGGTGAGTCTGAGGGAGTTCCTTTCTCTCTCTGACCATCAGTTTCCTCATCTACAAAATAGGGATAATATACTGAACTCACAAGGGATTGTTGTGAGAATTAAACATATACGTGTGTTTAACATTGTAGGTCCTCAAAAGAACTCTGTTCTCTCCTGTGCTTGACCTAATCCAGTGAACCAGGGGACTCCTGGCTCTGCAATAAATCTTGCCATTTATTTAATCTTCTGGATAGCACAATTGCACAGGTCTAAGATGAGGAAGAATGAATCACATTCATTAAAATATTTATTGAATGCCTGCTAGGTGCCAAGCAGGAGCCCTGTGGATATGGCAAGGTTGCTGTCTTCATTAAGCTTATGGTCTAGAGAGGGAAGGTGCTAAACAAACAAAATTACAATTCTGTTAAAAAGTCCATAAATGATAAATGTTAGAAGGGAACCCTCCTACACTGCTGGTGAGACTGTAGTTTGGTACAGTCTTTATGGAAAACAGTATGGAAATTCCTTAAAAAACTAAAAATAGGCTTATCCTATGATCCAGCAATCCCACTCTTGGGCATATATCTGGAGGAACTCTAATTCAAAAAGATACATGCTCCACAATGTTCATAGCAGCACTGTTTACAATAGCCAAGACATTAGAAGCAATCTAAATGTCCATTGACAGATGACTGGATAAAGAAGTTGTGATACATTTATACAATGGAATACTACTCTGCCATAAAAAAGGATAAAATAATGCCATTTGCAGCAACATGGATGGACCTGGAGATCATACTAAATGACGTAAGCCAGAAAGAGGAAGAAGAATACCATGATGTCACTTATATGTGGAATCTGAAAAAAAAAAGGACACAAATGACCTTATTTACAAAACAGAGCAGACTCACAGACATAGAAAACAAACTTATGATTACCAGTGGAGGAAAGGGAAGAGGGTAGAGAGGGATAAATTGGGAGTTTGGGATTAGTAGATACTAACTGCTATTTCTATAAAACAGATAAACAACAAGGCCCTATTGTATAGCACAGGGAACTATATCC